TCCCTTAAGCTTAGTTATTATCTAATGATCAAAACCCAACCTTCAATTCCACAAATAATCAAGAATTCAGAAAACTCACCTTTTCTCTTGAAGCTCACGGCTGGAGAAGAAAGAAAGAAAGAAAGAAAGAAAGAAAGCTCTGGAGAATTCTCTCCTTTCCCACGTGCTTATTACCCTTTATAAAGGGAAATAAAAATCTTTTCTGAGAAATGACCATAATACCCTTATTACTTCCAAACTTTGTTATTAAATCCAACACCAACAATTTTCATTAAAATCCCTAAACTTTCAATCTTTCTGAGATTGGTCACTAAATTACCAAAAATTCCATTTTGGTCATTGACCCGACTTTTGGGATGTTACATTACATTATATGATTTGTTCAAAGAAAACTCTCAGTGGTAAATAAATTGTTGTTATTTTTTGAGGTCCCGAGTTTGAGCATTAGGAATGCAAGGGGTATGAGCGTTCAATATCAAATGGTTGAGTATTTATCTTTGAACATATATTACCTTTTACTTACCCCATATTAATAATTAAAAAAACTCTCAACTATTTGATTTTAAATGCTCATACCGCTGACATCCATGATGTTTGAACCCATGACTTAAAAAATAATAGAAGTTCTTTTACCACTAAAGTGGTTTGATTTGTATGTAAGATAACTTTAAGAGTACGTTTGATTCATAGAATGTAAGATTACCATTGAAAATAAGATTAATGGTGTCATACCCCAATTTAGGAGCTAAATTTTATTGATTTAAGTAAATTTATGGGACTAAATTGCAAGTTTTAGAAACTTGCAGCTCGGGTTGAAACTCTGGGAAGTTCATAGACTTAACCTCGAATTAAAATATAATTATATAGAAGAAATTAAAATAAAATCTATACATGGTTGGAAATATAATTGAATTATATTTATAAGGGTATAAAGAAATTGAAAATCTGATTAGTAAATTAAAAGTTATGATCATATTACTATAAGGTGTACAATCGACCAGAACCGAATCTGTTTAGTGCCAAATAGGTTAACTTGAGCTTGAATTACTATTGTATTGATTCTAATATTGTCCCTATGTTGTTTATAAATTGCTAGAGCAAAGAATTAAGAAAGTGGCTGGAGGAACTAAGGGAGGTTCCACCAAAGATAGGCAAAAAGAAATAGTAATTCAAGGTTAACTTGGAGTATTGTGAGTTTAACTATGCTAGGGTTGGGAATTAGGTCCCAACCAACCTTTATTTTTTTATTGCTATGTTCAATTGTTCATGAAATCAATATACTAATAATGAAATGAAGTCATATTGGAACTTAAATTAAAGACTAAATTATTGAGTGTCATTTGAAATTAATTGGTAAATTAGTCATTGCTTGTCGCCTTGATTAAATTGAATTGGATTGTGAATAAATATATGTTACCATGATCTAATTGAATTGGTTTGTGAATAAATGTATGTTGCCATGACCGAATTGAATTGCATTATGGATTATTGCATACTGCCATGATTGAATTGAATCAAGTTGTGAGTTAGTGCATATTGCCATGTTGGAATTCAATTGAATTGAAATCTTGGATGAACAAATTGACAATTTTATCCACAATCAATTTGGAATTGAATGTATAATCTTGACATGGAACAATTCTTGATGGCCATGTTATGGAAATTTGAATTTTTACCAAATAAAATTCAATGTCCTTGGTTAATATTTGGTCCAAGATATAAGAGCATGCCTTTCTAGAGCTCAATTGTATATGGGGGACTACAGTCTAGCACTACAATGCTTATTGGCAATAGATGGAGGGTACGTTATTTGGTCTTTGGTGACAGTTGGAGGGTTGACCAGCACTACGGTGTAATTAAAGTGTATGGTGACAGTTGGTTGGAGACTTTCTTATCTAGACTGATCTAGAAACCAATGCTTAAATTAATTTACAAGATTAAATTAGAAGAGTGTATCTATATGCATGATTTGTTCAAATCGAATTGCTATATAGATTGAATTGCTTAATTCGAAATGCTATGTAGATTGTGTGTTGCATATATGGTAATTTATGCCTTGATCGAATGGAAGAAGAATTGAAATGTTTAATTGGTTGATTTAGTTGATTGTTAAATTAAATGTGTATGATTGTGTACTCTCTCCATGTTCGAAATTGAAGCTAGATCATGTAGATTATTTGAATTGAATGCTATATTATTATAGTATATAGTATTTACATGAAATCAAAATATTAGTTGATTGTGAAAGTCATTAAATGACAAAGAATCAATGAAATTCAGTGTTATCTCACTAAGTACTTTAAGTACTTATCACTCTTGTTCCTTTCTTTTCCAAACCACGTGTTTCTAGAGTATTCGAAGCACAACCTCTCTAGCTGAACAACCCGTGGAAAGATTGCAAGTATGACTTGTTTTGTTATCTTTATACTTCTAGTTAGTGGCTATCTTTTAATATAGTGGTTCAAATCTCATGCAATTGGTGGGTAGTTAAGTTATTTATGAAATGTGCCTAAGAACATAATGAAGTGTTATAGGCTATGGAGTTAATGTACCCGTAATGTATATATTGGCAATGGCTATTTTGGTTGTATATAGCCTACAAGCATGATCTTTTGTGTAAGTCATGTAGGGTCCCTTTTTGTATTGTAAAAATATATATAAGAAGAGTTATGTATAAATGTCATATTATGTTATGTTCACTAAACTCTTATAGAGTGTATGTGGTTTAAATGCTAGTATTTGGTTTAATGTATTAAGGATGCAAATTAAATGATAATACATGTGATAAATTAGGATTCATGGCTTAATCGAATTAATTGATAAGCAAATTGATTGAGATTTGATTAATGTGTATTTATATGCATAGAAGGGTTGATTGATCTTGTATTAAAAAAATGGCTCTTCAATTATAATGTCTGTTGCGTATGTTTGATTCAAACTTTAATGATCTTGTACTTGCTTATTGATATCGGTAATGCTCCCAATCCTTGATTTAGGTTTGGGGTGTTACATTAGGTCCTTTTTAGTTTAAATATTATTCAAATTAGACCTTTTCCCCTCCCAATTTTTAGATTCAAATATTTAATAGATCTTTGTTCTTTTTCTTTAAAACAATTTGCCCCACTCAATGTTTGATCCTAGCTTCGTCCCTGTACTCAGTTACGGAATAAAATACCTTCTTGGGAAACTATTATTTTGATCCATGAACTTTTCCTAAGTTTATACTTTTGCCACCAAATATTCAATTCGACCACTAACTAAATTTTTGGGGTATTGCAATACCACCTTGAAGGCACAATAATGAACGAACCAGTCAAAAGCTCTTCACTCTAAATAAGTTGTTTGGGACAATGAGATGGGAAAAGCCACAATGAGTCGATCCTAAGAAATACAGGGTGAATTGCAGCTAATACTGTATCAAGTATAGCCGAGTGGATATTTTTCAGTTTCAGACTTTAGGAACCAAACGGGCTTGTCTTTCAAGGATTAGCCTATGTAATCTGTCTTACTCTTCAAACGTTTTAAAGAATGGATTATTTTGATACGGATAAAAATATTGGTATAACTTTTTAAACTCGTACGTAATTTACATTTAATTTCAAATTATCTAATTTTTTTTAGATTTATTGTTAGTATGATCAAATTAGTTTGACATAAAATTATTCATTCACGTTGTTGTAGCATCGGTCAAATCTAGGAACGGCCGTAAAATTTTAAGTTAAGAGATGAATTTAAACTTATAAAATTTTAAGAGGGGCAAAAGCAGAATTTCAATAAAAAATACATAAAAAAAATTAAAATATACGATAATTTAGAATTTTAAGAGGCGACTGCATCCACCCATTCCGCCTAAGTCCACCTCTGATCAGATCCAATCACGAGTTATTGTTTTTAACATAACACCGTTCAGTGGTAGATCCAAAAATATTTTTCAGGAGGAACACATATCTATAAATAATAATAAAAAAATAGTATGAAACAGATACAAATAAAATTTTAAAATAGTCACCTTCAATAAAATGAATTGCTAATATAATATACACGATAAAATTATAAATTTACACAAATAAACATCTGGGATGTAGATGCATCCACCAGTATCACCAGTTGGTTTCTAAAAGGACATGCATGTTTTTATGTATAAAAAAGAACGTGCACTCTCTTTTTTTGCACCGACTTTTTTTCATTTTTTTTTCGCAAGCAGATTAAAATTAAAAACTAATATATTAAATCATTATTTTCAGTTAACATTTTATTTTCTATACATTAATTTTTTATAAAATAAATAAAATTATTGACTGAATTAATACTGAATCAATTTACCCGTGAAAGTTAACAGTATATTATATTCACTGAAATAAAATTGAATAATAACCGAATAGTTTTAAATTTGAATGGAATAGAGATATATGCAGTTAAAGACTATACAGGAAATAAACGAAAATATTAATTATGTAATTGAACTATAAAATAATATTTAAATTTAATAAAAGATTGATTATAAAATATTAAACAGACTATTTAATTATTCTAAAATAATATTTTTTAAAATAGTATAGTATAATATATTTAACAAAAATATATAATATTATAAATTTAATAGAATATTCAAATATATTTAAATTAACTTTCAACGAGTGTTGACACAAGTGATTGAGATTTAAGAATTTGAGTTTAGATGACCAAATTCAAATCTTACTACCGTTATTCTTGATGGACAACATATAAATTCTTATATAAATCTCAATTGAATCTTTAAATATATCCTAATCCTGGACGGAGAGAATTACTCATGACCTAAATTTTTATGATATATATATATATATATAAATTATCTATTATAAATTAAAAATATTAGTATTGTTTAATAATAGCTATAATTATTTAAATATAATACAAATATTTATATAATATAAAATTCAACTCGACAATGGGTGTAAGGTATAAACCCATTTCTCCTTTTAGTTTTTGTTTGTTTCATGTTCCTCTGTAACTCTATTCTATACCCATTGATGGGAACTTTCGTAGTTAAAGTAATTCCTCCCTAAACTCCTACTTCTGTATCCCCTTCTTGAACTTCTCTCCTCGGCGAACACCACGCAGCTTGAGTTATTCATAAATTGATTTTGTGCGTCTTCCGGTAACCGAAGCGTAAACCGCTCATGGTTTTCAGTGAGTTGAACCGGTGAGTGACCTGTCGAGTGAGATCGGTGGAACAGCCAGGGCAACTTCCATGGCTTGTTTTGAGTCATTGTCGAGTTTGGATTTATCAAACTCTCTTCCTGTGATTCTATGTCTGTTTCTTGATTGATAATCTCAATGACGCTGGTTTCGTCACCGATATTATTGTCGTTAGATCGGTTTTCAGGATTCGATATCGGATCGTTTACTTGAACCGCGACGGGGTTAATGGTCTCGCCGGGCTTCACCGCCAAATTGGCACGGCAAACGGGACACGTGAAATGAGAAGAAAGCCAAGCGTCGATGCAATCGGGATGGAACACGTGGCTACATTTAGGGATCAAACGCAGCGTTTCGTCGTCTTCGAACTCGTTCAAGCAAATAGCGCACTCGAGGGCGGCCTTTCCGATCACGAGTCCTTTAACCGTCGAGTAAAGAAACGTCGGGAAAGATTTAATTACTGACGAATCTACTCCATGTGTCAACCTCCTAGACTGGGTCCTCAAATTCGTATAGGAATCCAAGTTTCGGCGTCGAATTCTCCTTTCCGCCCACTCCCTTAAGTCAACGCTATAATATCCCATGAAGAAACACGCAATCCATAAAACCAACATTAACATCGCCAATTTTGAATTGAATCTTGATGCAACAGGACCGTTAAGATTGGACTGCGCCGGAGGCGGCAGAACTGGGATCGTTTGGGTTTGCGCGGTTGACAACGGGAGCACGAAATAGAGAAACAAAAGGAGTGAAGTCGCCTTTCCCGTGCATCGCCATTGGAGTCCATAGTTCTGCCTCAAAACTCGAAGAAATTGATGGCTCCGATCTGTTTTATTCATCAGACGACGAATCAAATGAGAGTACAACAGTTGGAACGTCGATTTTGCTGATCAATGCTCATATATTATCTTGTGGTTCAAAAGCAAACCAAAGCATAAAAAATAATAAATTTATTTTATACGCGCGGCAGAGTGAGCGTGTGGCTTTTTGTTGTTCCAGTTTTGGCTTCAAAGTAAAAAAGTTGGAACGGGATTGTCTCAGGAAAGGCGGGTTAATATACGGTTAATATACGGTAGTACCGGATATATTAAAATGTATTTAATAAATTCGGTTTAGCGGTACCTATTATGTTGACAACTAATAATGTTTTAGGTAGAAAATATGAAAAACTATTAAAAAATTTGGTAACCGGTAAACTTTGGTTATCGGTAAGTATCTATCCTTTTTATAAAAGTGTCCATACTTTTAACATATCAAGTAAATTTTACCGGTTTTATCATAATGAATCTGGTTTTGTCATATTTTTACTTGTTATATTGTAAAGTATCTATCCTTTTTATAAAAGTGTCCATACTTATTTCACTGTGAAAATATATTTATTATTATCTTTGGTTAATATTGTTAAATTTAAATTCTAAATAATATTTTATAAAATATCAAAACAATCAAATAATTTTGTGTGTAAATGAAATTATTAAATTAATATTGTAGGTGGAAAACATGAAACACTATTAAAAAAAATTGAAACATAAATTACATAACTTTAAAAAAAGTATATATCATTTTTATAAAAGTGTTTATACTTATTTCACTGTGGAAAACATATTTATTATTATCTTTGGTTAATATTGTTAAATTTAAATTCTAAATAATATTTTATAAAATATCAAATAATCAAATAATTTTTTGTGTAAATGAAATTATTAAATTAATATTGTAGGTGGAAAACATCAAACACTATTAAAAAATTTGAAACATAAATTACATAACTTTAAAAAAAGTATATATCATTTTTATAAAAGTGTCCATACTTATTTCACTGTGGAAAACATATTTATTATTATCTTTGGTTAATATTGTTAAATTTAAATTCTAAATATTATTTTATAAAATATCAAAACAATCAAATAATTTTTTGTGTAAATGAAATTATTAAATTAATATTGTAGGTGGAAAACATAAAACACTATTAAAAAAAATTGAAACATAAATTACATAACTTTAAAAAAAAGTGTCGATCCTTTTTATAAAAAGTATGGACACTTTCAATATAATAGGTAAAAATATGATGTAATAGGTAGCGCTTATATAATGTAATAGGTATCGTTTATATAATGTAATAGGCAGTTGTAAAGTATCTATCCTTTTTATAAAAGTGTCCATACTTTTTTCACTGTGGAAAACATTAATTTAATGTTATCTTTTGAGTGAGTTTTAAGATATTAATTTAGTAATTATAGGCGTCTAATGATTTATTTTTTACATTACGATATATATTATTATTAAATTAAAAACAATAAACATATATATTACATATTTATTATTATCTTTGGTTAATATTGTTAAATTTAAATTCTAAATATTATTTTATAAAATATCAAAACAATCAAATAAATTTTTGTGTAAATGAAATTATTAAATTAATATTGTAGGTGGAAAACATGAAACACTATTAAAAAAATTGAAACATAAATTACATAACTTTAAAAAAAGTATCGATCCTTTTTATAAAAAGTATGGACACTTTCAATATAATAGGTAAAAATATGATGTAATAGGTAGCGCTTATATAATGTAATAGGTATCGTTTATATAATGTAATAGGTAGTTGTAAAGTATATATCATTTTTATAAAAGTGTCCATACTTTTTTCATTGTGGAAAACATTAATTTAAGGTTATCTTTTGAGTGAGTTTTAAGATATTAATTTAGTAATTATAGGCGTCTAATGATTTATTTTTTACGTTAGGATATATATTATTATTAAATTAAAAATAATAAAAATATATATTACATATTTATTATTATCTTTGGTTAATATTGCTAAATTTAAATTCTAAATATTATTTTATAAAATATCAAAACAATCAAATAATTTTTTGTGCAAATGAAATTATTAAATTAATATTGTAGGTGAAAAACATGAAACACTATTAAAAAAATTGAAACATAAATTACATAACTTTAAAAAAATTATCGATCCTTTTTATAAAAAGTATGGACACTTTCAACATATTATAATGTAATAGGTAAATTTGCAATGCTATCAGTATAAATATACCTGTTTACTTATAAAATAGGTAAATATAAGCCTACCTATTACATTATATAAGCGCTACCTAGTATGTTATTGTACTTTATAATATTTTCGGTTAAATAATATAACATAACCGGTCTAAATTTTAACCGGTCACTTGTTTTACCGGTCACGCCGTATATTAGCCGTTTTTTAGGCGCCGCACCGCAGAACTACCCAGTTGGAACCGGCTAAGGAACAAACCTTTTTCTGCGGAGTGCTGGTACTAGTGTAAGCAAATAAAGAACTGACACGTAAGCAACCAAGAAGGAATGATGCAAATTGATTGATTGGTATTTGGTTAGGATTTTCTTCTTCTTTGGATAATCATTTAGATTTATCGAATGAGGAAATGTGCTTATGGTTTTATTCGTATTTTAACAGATAAATCGTTATACTTTATGTTTTATTTACGTAAATTAGGCTTGTTTAATTTTAAAAAGTTTGTTTTAAAAAAACTGTGATAGATGTTCAAGCTAATTTGTAAAGTTATGTCATCACTCTTATTTTTGATTGGTTTACACTTAGTTTAGCATTCTGTTTCTCTCACTCTTTATTTTACTAAAGTATCATGTTCAACACATATCTAGTTATGTATCAGAGATACACCAATGCTGAAAACATGTTCGCAATCGATACTCACATCGGATTCTGAGAAGACGTAATGAACCCATTCTTCTTTATTGCTGATAGAGAGAGTTGAAATAAATTGAACACAATGAACCTGCTTTAAAGGAGATTAATTTCAGTTTTTGATTTGATTAGAAAACCTCTCAGCATATATTGCTCTGTCTACTACTATGGTATCGATTTCGTTGAAGAAAACCGAGTACTGGATGAGAAGAACAAAAGATGGTTTTGGAATATGGCCCTCCAAATACATGGAAGAACTTAAAAGAAACTAAACATACCCGTAACACTCTGGCTCGACCAACATAGACGTACTCTGCAATTGAGTGTTTGTTTTCTGATGTTAAAACTACTGCATTTAGCTGTTGAAATAGAGTTTGGGTCGGGTTGGATTGAGTTTTTTAGATTATGATATCAAATTGAATCGAGTTCGCATTTATGGTGAAAATTTCCCAACTCGAAAAAAATAATGTAATTATACGTTATATATTTAAAGATAATTGTAGTAATATCACTATCTATATTTTTTTTTTCAATTACATCCCTATTTCATCACATAAAATTAAAAATCATATATATTTGTATTGGATAGGATGAGGTTGGGTGAGTTTTATCTCAAAAGACAGGTTGGGTTTTGGGTCAGATGAAGTCATCCTAAACTTGAATCAATCAAGATCTCAGGTGGAGGGTGTATTTTTATCGGTCGGGTTGAGTTGGCCAAAAATCGACTCATGCCTATCTCAAGTCCAACCCTATTGACTGGACTAACTAGCATAGGATCCATGGGCTAAACCATATTTACCCTATTTGCTCAATTCTACCACCCATCTCCTAAGCATTGCCAAATTTATTTGCTTTCTAGATTGCCTCTTTACTTTGGGTAAATAGTAGAATGACCGTATTGTGTTGGAGTTAAAATCATCCGCATGAAGACATTGTCTAAGGTTAGGTGGAAAGTCGAGATTTAAAGATTAAGAGAAGCTAAATATGTGTGTGTGTTTATTCCACGTCAAAAGATGGACAAAACTAAGAGCAACATAGTTTAAGGTGCAAGATATCATACCTTTCTTCCATCTAGTCTAAAATGCAAGATTTATGTGTTTTCAAAAGAGGGGGTTCGTCTCTTTAATATCGATACATTTTGGTTTGAGTAAATTTCAAGCATATTATGTTCCAACATCTATTGAATTATCACGTCTCTTTCAATTTTTTTCTCATTAATGGTGTTTGAAACTTTCTTCATCTACCTCTCACAAAACACCAATGGTTGCCAACACCCACATGATCACAACAACTTATCTGTTCACAAAGAATCTGAAGAAAAATGTGGGGGTTTTCTTTCTTTCACAATCCATCTTTTCAAATTGGTCAATAGATGGCTTCAATTACACAGCATATTTATGTTATTGGAGAGTCCCTTTATGTTGAATTAATAATTGATTACTTTTGGACTAGCTTTGTTGTATACCTGTTCATGATCATTTCATGGCATTATATAAGGGACTCCATTCCAGAAAATTATTATCACAAAAAGCTTCTTCTTTATTTCTCTGCTTTTATGGTCTTATTCTGTCTATTTTCTCAAGTAAAAGAAGAAAATGGCAAGCTCGAGTGTGGAAGTGGAATGTGTTTTGGTAGTTGTGGGCATGGTTGTGCCAAGCTTGGCCACAGTTCACACTGTGGGTGACACCTCTGGGTGGACAACTGGTGTTGACTATAGCACATGGACTAAAGGCAAGACCTTCAAAGTTGGTGATACCCTTGGTGAGTTCTTAAATCCAAATCTTTTAACTGAAACCTTCATTTCGTCCAATTCTTTCATATTTTGAACTTTTCAATGATTGGATAAATTTAATTGAATTAATTTCGAATTTTTCATGTTCCATAATGAACTAACGATTGGGACTTTTGGTTGCCTAGCCTTCAATTACCCAACCATGCATACAGTGGATGAAGTAAGTTCAAGTGATTATAGTACATGCACTGTGGGTAATGCAATAAGATCAGATAAGAGTGGAGCCACCACTGTCACTTTCAAGACTGCCGGAACTATTTACTTCATTTGTGGTGTTCCCGGCCATTGCACCGATGGCATGAAGCTCGCCATCAAAGTTGAGTCCGGCAGCGCAACAATGACGACGACAACAACAACAAACTCGGATTCATCGTCTTCTTCACCCAACCGTTCGCCATTTGCGGCTTTCTTCTCAACTTGGGTTGCGTCATTGGTTATCTTGATCATAAGTATAAGCTCTCGGCAAGAATTTTAGTCTTTGTTCCGGATAGAGGCAGTGCTGGTTTTCTATTCCCCCGGGCCCCACCACACCCCCACTTTTTTTTATTTTATTTTATTATCATTGTAATTTTCTTTATCATGAACTTGAACTAAAGCCTCATTCAGGGTTTTATATATATTACAATAGCAAGCGTATCAAATAAATTAAATCCAACCCAATTTTATTTCAATATTTTTGTGTATCTTCTTCTTTCTCTTTGATCATTGTTTAATCAACGATATTATAAATTTTATTGTTGGTTACTGACTATCGGGAATATTATTTCTCTTGTTTTTTTTAGTATTTTTAATTTTGTATAAAAATATTTATCCTTGTGATATAATATTTCTTTGCTCTTGTAGTTCGCATTTCCTCTGTTCTTGTGGTACGATACTCATGATTTTCAGTACTTTTTTGCATACCTTTGAAGTCGTTTTGGTTATCGTACAAAATCTATCACGACATTTATTTTATAATTAGTTAGTTGATAGTTACGTATAATCAAATCCTCTCTTTTGATAAAATGTTATTTGTTAATATAATCAGAATTATGTAGCGAAACAGCTTGCCAAATTTTTTGATTCGCTCTCCACTCCTTTATTACTTTATCAAGAGTCTCATTCGACAGAGACAAAGAGTTTGTATGAAGGTTATTGGGTTTTGATATTGGTTATCTTTCTCAATGGAAGATTTTAATTTTTTCGTATTTTTAGGTATGAGTATTTTAGTGACTACTTTCTCCAAATTTATCTTTTTTTTTGATGGGTTATAATTTTAATTTATTCTATTATTAATAAAATTCAGTTACCATCGTTAAAAAAAATAAATTAAACTCAATTTTAAATTACCGGATTATTTTTTTCATAATTTTTTGTTAGGGCGATGGTTAATGCCAAATTATTTTCAATTATTTAGGTGGAGACTTAATACATTAAGTGTAGCTATTTGTCCAAGGAGTGGCTGAACTCAAGGTTCGACATAGATATTTGATAAAAACCTTTTTCAAATTTAGGTGAATCTAAATAAAGTATATTTTATTTAAATGTATTATATGTCAATATAAAAAATGGTTGAGGTTTTCTTGTTAGTATTTCAGGGATAAAAATTTAAATTATTTTTTATTTACATTTAAAGTTGAGTTTCATACTAATCAAATTGAATCAAATGAAAAATTATATTAATAACATTGATTAATTTTATTTTACTATTTAATTCAATTTTTTTAATTGAACGTGTAAAATTAAACTTTATTGAAGTTAAGTTAACATTTAAATTTTATTAATAATATGATAAAATGTTAGGTTAGAACAAATACTGTATAGACTTTATATATTGAGAAGTTTTTCAAACCAAACCAAACCAAACCAAATAAATTAAAATAATTTATATGTTTTTATAAGAGAAACTTGATTGCATGATTTATTTATTTAAAATTTTGAAATTGTTATTTTTTAAAAATATTTTTTTATAATTTAACCTTTTTTAGAAGATCTTATATTACTTCTAGAATTTGTATAGTATTTTTTTTTCTTTGGATTTTTAAGGTTTCTTTTTGTATTTTTTTTTGGTCGAAAAAGACTAATTTGCACATTTTTTTAATTGACAAAAATTGAGGGGAAAAAACTGATGCGGTGATGCCTTACGCTGTATCCTTCTCTCGCTATCAGAGAAAATAAAAACAGAGCCAATAGGAGGAAGAAGAAGAAAATAGAGGTTTTGATTCATTTCTATTGCTTTGTCTTACAAAGGCGGTGCATCGCTCTGCGGTTCCGTTTTATAAAAAAGGAGAAGGCCGTTTCTTGTTTTGTTTGTTCCATTAGGAGGGAAAGGAAATGATGCAGCGACGGAGGCGGAGGGCGGCGGCGGTTGTACTACCACAGAAAATATTAATGTGTGCCACATGCACCATATCATTTGTCGGACTGCTTTCTGGATACGTACATATGTTCCCTTCTTCCCGTGTTTCTGATTTATCTGATACTTATAAGCTCCCTACCATCACTTAAGTCTCCTCTCTCTCCCCCTCTCCCTCCCCCCCTAAATATCGTGTTCTTCAATTGCCTGCTTGATTTGTTTACCTCTTTTCCATTTTTGGAAATGTGACATTATTTGTTTTCAGTTAAGGTATAAAATGTAGAATTTGATTTTCGTTTCTCTGTTTTTTGAGTTTTTGTAGCAACGTGAATTTAAGTACCAGAAGTTAAGCGAAGAGAAAAGGTGGATGAAGGAGGAGGCTCCGCCTCATTTATCGAAACTGCAATCTCCGCCGCATCTTTCCAATACTCCTATGTCATTTCACAAGGTTTTTGTGTTTATTTTAATTGTTTCAATAATCTGTTTGGTTGCTGAGAAAATGGAAAATTAAGAAAACCCTCCCGAAAAAAGAATGAAAAGAAATTCTAGTTATTCCTGGATTATATTCCTTCGCATTGTACCCTGCTGCTTGTTTTCTATAAGCCACTTTATTAGAACTTGATTAGGTATTGAAAAATTCCTTTTGGGAGGATGTCTAATTTGTTTGCTATCTAACTTGCTTGCTAGCTTGTCGTTGGTTTAAGTCTAGTATATACCTCTATCTATGTTACTCGAACTCGGATGTGAGTGTCGAAACAAGTATGTTTTCAACAAAGGTATGGTCGGATTTTTTTTCTAATTTTTCCATGTATTTGGAGACTCTTGAAGGTCATATCTGTATATGTGTTGGACACGAGTGTATGGTTACTTCAACAAAAATGAAGAGTCGGAGCAACATAGACTTTTATTGATGCGAGGTAGTCATGTGACTTTCATGTTTTTCACTCTTTTAGATTTAACAGTTTGATGGTGCCAGTGGAAATCTGAATTTTGAGAAGTTGTGGAAGCCGCCTGAAGATCGTGATTTTGTGCCCTGCATACAGCCCAGTCCCAACCATACAGGTAAAGAAGTTAAACTTTGAAAATTTTCTTTCAAGGTATCAACATTATACTTGTAAATTGAATCTTCAGTTTGTTATTTTTTGTTTAGCTCCTAATCAGTCAAGAGGTTATCTTCTAGTTCGTACAAATGGCGGGCTCAACCAAATGTGGACTGGGGTATATATCTTCTATCTCTTTTCAAGGTTGATTACTAGTTTGATGAAATTCATTCATTCTGGATATATGATGTATCTGCTAACGTGACGTATTCCTTCATCGTTGATGTTCCCGGATAGAGATGCAGACATCAAGATATCCATTCTCAACAGATGAACAAAGTATCATCCGCACACTACTCTTACATCTCCTGTAGCTATAGGGACACACTAAAGATCAAAATATTACATATGTTCAAGTTTAATGACTGAAATATTGGCAATCTATCCATTTTATTATGTACTTAAATAGGGATATCAGTTCTTCTTGATCATTTAGCTGACTGAGTTTCATTCTTGAGTTGCAGATATGTGACATGGTAGCTATAGCCCGTATAATAAATGGCACACTTGTAGTTTCAGAACTTGATAAAGGATCATTTTGGCAAGATACTAGGTAGCCTCTCCTTTTTAATTCATCTCCTTGGCGAAAAGTAGTACAACTTTACTACTTTCTATCTCTGGCCGAGTTTCCTACTGACTAATATTATTATTTTTTGCTTCCTTGTTGACTTGCAGCAATTTCTCTGATGTTTTTGACGAGGACCATTTCATTAATGCTTTGGCAAATGATGTTAAATTCGTAAAGAAACTTCGCAAGGAATTGTCTTCTGCTACCAAAGTTGTTAAGCATTTTAAAAGTGGGTCTGCCTTATCGTACTACCGGAATATGATAGGCAGCCTGTGGAAAGAATATCAGGTTTGTTTGTTGACATCTTTATCATGATTGATTGGTTATGCAACTTTTCTGATGTAAGTACTCTTCCATTTTTATTTCCCATTTTCTACTAGGCTATTCGAGCTGCTAAGTCTGATTCTCGCCTAGCAAATAACAATCTGCCTCCAGATATACAAAAGCTCCGTTGTCGGGCTTGCTATGAAGCACTTCATTTTGCACCCAAAATTGAAGCAATGATAAAAGTAATCAGTTTGACTTTAATCATTTCTTAAGAGTCTTCAGTATGTTTTTCTCTATTCATCGTAAGTTGCTGACATTGCAGTTGCTGGTGGACCGAATGAGGTCTTATGGTCATTTAATCGCATTGCATTTACGATATGAGAATGACATGCTTGCCTTTAGTGGATGCAGACATGGTTTATCTAATGCTGAAGCTAAAGAGCTGAAGACAATCAGGTATACCAGTTACCTAGCTCTTGGATTCCCATCGAAAACCCCTATATACATTGCTGCAGGAGATATTGAAGATACTAATTTTTTTTTATCCATATTATTATTATTATTATTATTATTATTAGTATTATTATTATTATTATTATTATTATTATTATCATTATTATTATTATTAAATATATATTAAATAAATAATAAATTACAGACCAATTACAACTGGACCGGCCCAGTTACAAACCAACCAGAACCGGTCCAAATCCAACCAGAAACCCTAAATACTTGGGTTTCCAGTTAGGGTTTCCTAACCCTAATTTACCCAGCCGCCTCAGCTCACAGCCGTTGGATCTGGCAAGATCCAACGGTCCAGATGGTGCCAGAGAGAAACCCTAGGGTTTGATACCCTAGGGCCACGCGGCGCCGCCCCAGCTTCTACGCGGCTGCCGACAGTTTTCTCGCCGCCTCCGCCGCTGCCACGTCCAGAAGGAAGACTCCAGAAGATCAACGCCAGCCGTCCATGCAAGGCTACGGGGTGAGTCACCACTGGTAGTCCGGTGACTCACCGAGGCCCCCTCTTCGGACCGGTCCGACAGCTACAACCGTGGTGGCTATAAAAGCCACCACCCGAACCTGAAAAAAAAAAGCAGAGACAAAAACTAGAGACAGAGACAGAAAAAAAAACAGAGAAAGAAAAAAAAAAACAAACTATACCAACGATCTCAGTCAGCATCAACACAGCAAGGAAAAAAGAGAGAAGAGAGGCAAAAGCTTACCCTGTCATCGGAGAGCCCCAACCGTCACCGGATCTCACCAAAACTTCGAAAAGCCGAAGGTATTATTGTAGATTTGCTCCGATTGGGAGCCGTTTAACGGAAAAAAAACATCGGAACCGTCATTAGGACGGTCCGATCTACATTTAGGATAAAAAATATTTTTTCCGGCCACCGGCGGCGGTGGCCGGCGGCGGTGGTTGACGGCGGATGAACGCCGGCTAACGGCTGCCGGCCGGCTGAGCCTCTCTCAGTTTAGAGAGAAGACAGAGAATTCTTCTCTCTGTTCGAGAGAAAGAAAAAAAAAGAAAGAAGAAATGAAATGGCTGGCCCTTCGGGCCAGCCGATTTGGACTCTTATAGTCCTTCCCGAACGACGTCGTTTCGGGAAGGACTATGCGCGTAATTATGAAATAATTAAACCCCGTCCGCAATCCTTCGTATTTGTAAATTTTACATTTTAGTCACTAAATTGAATTTATAATATTTTTAATTTAGTCTTCGAATTTTAATTTTATTTATTTTAGTCCTTCATATTAAAATAATATATTTAGGATAAATTACAGATTTAATCCATTAATTTTAATAAATAATATTTTAATCCTTAGTTTATATTTTTAATTTATTTGATTCTAATATCCAAATTTTAGATAATTTTATTTTAGTCACCAAATAAAGAAATAACATATTTAATCCCTGTAATTTAGATTAATTATGAATTAGATTTTTAATTTTATTTTTTCGTTTATTTTATATGTTTTCATTTATTTTATTGTTTTTAAATATATTGTTTTAGTAGTATTTGTATTTTTTATATTATTAAATATTTTATTAAATATTTTTATAAATATATAATAAATAGTATTTTTTTAAATATTTATTTTTAATATTGAAGAAAAAGGACAGTCTTAATACAACTGGATGTCCTATTCTGATATTTTAAAATTAAAAAGTAAACCATATTATTTAAATTAATATTTATCAATATCAAAGAAAAGAGCTGTCTTAAGGCACCTAGAAGTTCTTTTCGGATATTTTTAAATAAATAAATATTTTTTATATAATTTTGAAATAATAGGATTATAAATTAAATATATTTTTGAATTTTTAAATTTTAATAATAGAGACAATTTATAATTAAAAAGTACCAATTTTGGGCGTTGTAGGGGTGCTAATCCTTCCCTAAACGTAACCGACCACGAATCCCTTTTTATTATTAAAAAGAACGAATTTTTGGTTATAAAACGCAGATCAGTTCATCTTTTAAATATGGTTTTCTTAAAAACTCTTTTAAAAGATAATTTTTAGGTATTCGACCTACCTGATCCAAAAGGCCGATGGCGACTCACAAATTATTTTCAAAATTATTCATTCACATCAATTTCCCCGCCAAATATAATATTTCGTGCCCGGACGAAAACCGGTTACGACAGCTTGGCGACTCTGCTGGGGAATGGTCAAACTTTTAAAAAATCAATTATAAATTGTCTCTATTAGTTAAAAATTAAAAATTTATATATTTAATTTTTAATTCTTTTTTTCAAACTTTTTATTTATTTATTATTTTTATAATATTTATATGTTTTATTTTCTTTGCAAGTATTTCATTTCATTATTTATTTTTCTAAAGTTTGAACATTTCTCCTCACACACAACACTTGCATTGCATAACATAAAGCTCTATAATTGAGTTGTCCCTTTTAAGTGAGAGTGAAAGCAACGTCTTCGTGAGAATTTATTCTCCGTGTCAGACCTAGCAAGTAACTTTCGGGGTTCATATGCTCTGTCTTCGTGAGAATTTATTCTCCGTGTCAGGCATAGAGAAATGTATCCCCTCGAATTGAACTCGATTCACTTTAGTCTGTAATGGACTAGGATTGAGGGTTAGCAACCCAAGGGGGCACTAACAAGGACAATTCGGGTACCTTTACTCCTAGATCTGAAACCCTGCATATAAAAAAACCTTAGAAACTCTTCCAATCCAAAGTCATGACAAAATTTTGTCCAAAATAGGTGTACACACAGGAGAAATGAATTCTGTCTTTTCTGTTAATTTATTTATTATTTAAATTACATGTTTATTTAAATTATTTAAATTCAGAAAAGCATGTTTAAATAAAGAATATTTATGTAAATATTATTATTAAATTTCTTTATTATGTAAACTAATTTATTTTCTTTTTGTGTGTTCTTTATTTTTCTGTTTGCATTGCATCATACAGGATAAAAGACATTGATCCTTGTGTTAATTGTCTCATTGGAAAGCCTTCATCTATGGATAAAAAGTGTTCAAGTCAAATAATTCTAAACTCGGAAGTAAGACAGTGGGCTGAGGATTTACAAAGACAAGCAGGAGACAGTCTGCAGGATGATTATGTATCTGACTTGGCCAGTTATGCTTCAGTTTCACTAAAAAGAAATGATATGCAAGATTTGCGAAGCATTTGGGAAAGTTGGGATTCAAACAAAAAATTGCAGTTTTATCAGACTTACGGAGACATCCCATATTTGCTCTATGTAGAAGTTGATGATGAATTACTCCGAGCCCTAATTCAATTCTGGAATCCAGGGTACAATTGCTTCACTCTCAATAAGGAAGACTTGGTCCCTACTATTGAAGAATATACAACTTTGCTACATATCGAAGGGGCTTTGGATAATCGAATATATTCAAAGTCAATTAAAACTCAGCCCTTTCGAGTTAAATTAGCAAAGATTGCTGGGGTACGAGAAGAATGGGTAGCATCCCGTACCAAACAAAAAGGCGAAAGCGAAGGCATTGCTTGGACCAACATCAGAGAGCTTATTCAGAGTCATCCAGACGCTAAAGTACGATTCGATCTATTTGCTCTGGGTATATATGGTATGGTCATCTTCCCAAAAGTATTGGAATATGTTGAAGCTGCAGTGGTAGACTTGTTTGAACAGCTACCGAAGAAGATTAATCCTGTTTCTGCCATCCTAGCAGAGACCTTCAGATCGTTAAATGCTTGCAGAAGGCTAGGAGGTGGACGATTCTCAGGGTGTACCCAGTTGTTATATGTTTGGATCCGTAGTCATTTCTGGAGAACAGAAAAGGTTTCATACCGACGCTTTAATACGGATTATTCACCATTAAAAGAATTTCTAGAGCAGGAATGGCCGAAAGAAATTAAGAAAGATATGTGGATTAATGCCTTTCGAAATCTGCAAAGCAATGACGTTGTTTGGCGCGCCCCGTGGCAAATCCAAAGGGAATTCTTTTACAGGTGTGGTGATTACAACTGGATAATGCTGCTCGGATTATGGGGAGGAATTGGATATGCACCACTGCTGGTTATAAGACAGTATGAAGGTCGTCAATTTGTACCTGTCACTGCTGGACTACAGTCATCTGAGTTCGCATTCCACAGCAAAAATTATAAAAGAAATATCATGGAAGCCGTTACAGCTTGGAAAACAATTTTTTGCATCCGAGCTAAAGCAGCAAAAGAAATGTTAACTCCTGATTATGAAGAATGGAGATCTATCAGGAAAAACGAAAATATTCCTCTACCAGATCAAAATGAGGATATTTCTATGGAAGATCGCATTAAGGTGGTTCCATCAGAGATTGAAATCTTGAGAGCTGAGTTTGAAGCAGAAAGAGATGGCTGGTCGAAAGAGTTAGAGCAAATGAGACAAGATAAAGCTATGTTGGGGGTTGACATTGACTCTCATTCATCACAATGTGCAATGTTGAGAAAAGATAAAGAAAAAGGTGAGGATGAGTACAGAGCCTTACAGAAAAATTACCAGGAGTTATATAAATCCCGAAAAGCATCAGGACCCAGCCAATCGACGGTACAGATGACCAGAGAATTGAACATTGAGAAAAGACGAGTTGAAGATCTGAAAGGAAAGAATAGCCGTCTACTCAAAAGCTTGGAAAAAGGAAAGAAAAAAATGGAAGATTTCGAGGTCGACAGAAGAGAGCGAATTATAAAACACAAGGCTGAACACCGTGAGATCATGAATGAAATGCAAAGAGAAAGAGATCGAGCCAAAGATTTAGAAGAGATGAAGAATGACATCTTTGTTAAATTTGAAGGCGAGAAAAATATCATGTTCAAGGGATTTGAATCTGAAATGAACCAGTTGATTGCTGAGCTTGAAATCAGAGACCAAAAGATGGAAGAATCCAATGTTGAAAAAGGAAAATGGGAGCTAGAAAGAAAAAATTTCAACACCAGACTTGAGGTAGAACAAGAAGTGGCTA